TGTTAACACACTCAGCTTACACTCCACTTTTTGCAGTACACTGTAAGCACATAGAGAAACTTTCAATAGCTATGGGTTTACACCATATATTACTTATTAAAATAAAGTTAACTTATATTTAGTTGATGGAGAAAAATAATATAATAAACAATGTTTTTTTTCCTCATTTCACTATTGCTCAAATATGAAAAGTCTTAAGTACATTTCCTGTTTTGGTAATACTGTGTATTTTAACTAGAAACACATTTTGTGGCAATTAAACGACAATAATATTCACCACATAAATGGCTACTTCCAAAAAAGGCAAAAAAAAAGCAATGCTTAAGTATTGTCCTCAGTCTATTACTGTTTCTCCTTGATGTACAATAAATTACACGATAATAAGAATGGAGTGCTAAAACTTTTAAAACCTGATCTCAATGCTACAGCTGTGTGATACTGATTTGGTTCATTATAGAGTTGCATGAATCACTGATTCAGATCTACCCAGAGGAAAAAATGACTAAACTCAACCTGCCTTTAATTTTGTGCGTACCAAACATATTTTAATAATACATGAATAATTTCTTTACATTTGGACCAACTGCATTACACTTTCCTTGAGAACCTTTGGTAAGAGATGCTGGACAGAGCTCAATAATATACCATGTTAACTTAACTACATGTACATCAATGTAGCTTCTTCAAACAATCACACTAGTATCACAATGTCATGAGCTTTCTTCAACCCTAGCTTACTAGCTTTCTCAGTGGACCAGAGAGGGAAACTAATGCGAGCTGATGGCAAAAATTTAAGGACTCTGCCTATTTGAGCACCACGGGTCAGGCACTTTGAAGTACACATTAGAAAATCAAGAAAAAGCACATAATGTGTGATTATATCATGGCCTGATTAACTAACATAGTGATGATAATGATGGTGACTGTGATGATGATGGTGTTCATGGCGATGGATGACAGGCTGTCCATCATGATGATACATGTCACTGTCTCTACAGCAGTTGTGCTTACAGTGAGTATGTTCACTATGTTTGTGATGGTGTTGCGGTTTTGGTGAGGTATTGCCAAATGCAAATGACTGACTGCCTGTATGATAAGGGTATGTTAGGTGGTCTGTGGCAAGATCCAGGTACTGAGGACAGCGACGCAAACCACAGCCCACTTCAAAACTGTCAGCCTGACAGACACGGTGACGATGTTTATGTTTATGCCTCTGGTGCTCTTCAGTGATTCCATCCTCATTCTTGTCATAAGTATGAGACCACTGATTGATCCAATACTTTACTTTGGCCATTTCATTACTGTTGGATGATGGTGGATTGCACTCACCAGGTCCAGTTTGCATTCTCTTGGGATAGTGATACATTCCCTTTGAGTCAACAGGACTGAATGCTCTCCTAGTTCCATTCTTCAGACAATCCTTTTCTATGGGTTGCCTCTGCTCACATCTCCTGCAGGAGGAAGATCTGCGGTGATGCACACCACTCCTGCCATGATGGTCAGGGTGTGTGGGTTCACCCAAGCTGCTTTGTGGTCTGACTTGACTAAGGAAGTCTGTGGATGGGGGGTTCACAGTCATAGAGCCTTCTCTCTCAACTGCAGCATATCTTTTAGCCTTGCTTTTCTTAGGATGGTCTTGTAGGTTATTAGTTGTCAGAAAGCACTCAGGCCTGGCCATATCTGTCACATCTCTACTCCTCTCCTTTGAGAGTGATAGTCGCACACAGAGTTTTTTAACAGGGTCTTTTTGCGCACTCTTGGGTCGAGACATGCTTTTTCCCAGCACCTCATAAATTGACTTGACAAGGTTTTTAAGGTCCTGCAAACCAGTAGAATGGCTGTTAGATAATAGCTTTTACAAAGAGGCTATGGCCTCATGTTTTGAGTCCAACCTATCCCCCTTTAATATTTATTCAGTGTTTTCAAAACTAGCTGCCAGCAGTCGCATCCTACGGCATCTGTTCCATTTGGGGCCTACCCTTGGGTAAATTCTATGTTAAATAAACTGGTTTCTCAAAAGAGTCAACAGTCACTGAAAGAGTTTGTGAGTAAAGAAACATAAAAGTTTCGATGAGATGTTCGGTGCAACAACACTTAATTGCTAATTCTGCTTCCCATGTATAAGTCAATTTAACATTGTTTACAGGCTCAGATTGTAACAAAGACGGCGGTTTCTAATGGAGAGTACTCTAGATAAAAACACATTCCGTATTCAAAAACAAGGCAAATGGCAGAAAAGCAACAGCACGGGCTAGCAAAGATGGGGTCAAATACCAAAAGGAAATAGGATGTTCTAGGAAATTATTCAAGGCAATCCAGATATTAATGCATTCATGATGTGCAGACTGTAAAGTCCAGTTTCTGTAGCATGAAGTGACTAGGAATAGTTTTACTCCCCCTGGATGGGATGCTAGTCCATCGCAGGGTTACTCCCAGCATTAAATTCGGCAGTGCCCATTTGTACACCTGGGTTGAGAGAGGCAAGACACTGGCCTCTCTCAAGAACACAGCAAAATATCCCCTGGCCAAGGCTCGAACCCAGACTGCTCATTCCGGAGTCGGATCCATGAGGCCACCATGCCTCTACCTTTTTCATTAAGTTTTACACAATCCTAATCCAGTCTGTATCGAAAGTTTTTGGGCTGACTGTGTACACCAATTTGGCAGCAGGGGCAAATTAGATCATGACTGCACACGTGCAGTAAGTATGTGTTAGATTCAATTATGAAATCTGCCATTTGGTCAGTTGACCTGCACCTCTTTAAAACCTCTATTTTGATTTGTTCTTCTTAATCTGCACCTTTTTTGTACTTAGCGCTAGGGGTTTCTGCTGTTTACCTATTGTTTCATTTGGCCAATAATAAAGAAACTTAAAAATGGCATCGGTCACCCCATTTTGACCTGCTCATTTTCAACAACAAGCACCTGTTGTTCCTGCCTCATCAGGAAAAATAAATGTTTTGTAGTTTGCGACAGCAAATGGCCCAAGGACTTGTGGTTAAAAAACAAATTTTCTGAGTTGTGTAGCTTGGCAAATCGCCATGATTTACAGTCAGAAAACAAACTTTCCAAGATGTGTAGCTCACCTAAAGGAGATTTGTGGTCAGAATGGTATACTCATTACCAATTTAATCTTTTTCATTAGTGAAAACAAGATGTAAATTTAAGCAATTTAAACAAATACAAACACAAGGTAATGCCCCGGCCCACAAACCCCTTAGGTGGCAAGGCCCCTTACAACTCCTACTAAGCACAATGAAACTTCTACTCTCAAAAGTTGTTAAAACACTGTTACCCTTTCGATATAAATGGATTATGCATATCCTTGAAGAGCCTGAAATTAACAAAATCGTCAAGTCGCCATTTGGCGACTAAGTGATAAAAAATAGTAGCTAAATGTAAATTTTTAGTCACAAAATCAAATAGAAGAGAGACACAATCCACAGACATACATGACATACTCACTGCTCAACGGTTTGCAATTACAAGGTGATTTCAAACAGGGGTAGCAATTTTGAAGTTTTCGACTGAGAGAGAGAGAGAGAGAGAGAGAGAGAGAGAGAGAGAGAGAGAGAGAGGGAGAGAGAGAGTTGTTTACTTTAGTGTGCCTTAGAATAATCAAACATGGCGATCCAGTTGGCGATCAAAGAATCGTGGGTTTGTTTTATTATGTCTATTCAAATAAATTGTGTCTTTCATCCACAAGTAATGTTCTTTTTCCTTTGAGATTGCTGCTAGCCCTTTTAATTTGTGTCAGTCAAGGCAAAACCTAGTTGCAAATCTGTGACTATTCTCATTTTTCTAGTCGCAAATAAGTAAAGTTAAGTTGCAAATGCGACTGTATTGGTTGCAATTTCCAGCCCTGCCCTGTAATTCAAGTCCAAGTCGAAGTTTAGCACCAGTTTACCACGAAAAATTCACAGAGCATCCCCATTTAGTTAGGATTATAACACCCTTAGCTATTGATTAAAGTGCAACTAACCCCCAAATGTTTCTCTGTTAATGTAAATATCTACTAGTTTTCCCAATTACTTCAGCACAAAATTATCTGGATTGATAAAATGCTCACATTTCTACTGGTGTTTTAAGTTGTAATTTCTGCGGCCTGATGACAGAGCATAGTGGGATCTGGGTCAGGCTTATAGTGACGTCATCAAAGGACATTGCTGAAAACACTCAAGAGACACTTGACTGGGTTTCGAGTGCTGTGAAAACATATTTGGGGTATTTGTGCTTCATATTTTATCAAAAATGGACAAGACTTTTAAATTAAAGAACTGTATCATCTAGCAATACAATTTGGAGTCTAGCTACATGTACGATTAGGGCAGCTACTATTTTTTTTGATTTTGCAGTGCAGGTCACCAGTAGAGCCCACCACACTGCAAGTCACGATCCACAATTTACCGGCCCATTTGGCTTATAAAGGTTAATTAAAACCGTGGCTGAAGAGTTACAGCTATTGAAGAGTTATAAAAATGTCAGTGAACAAGACAAAATTTCGCAGAAAAAAGTTGTCTTTTCACTTTGTTATTGCCAACCAACAGTATTTATACAAAGTCAATTACTGAATTAGTGTGTGCAAACATAAACATTGCAAGTTACACAAATTTGCATTTTTTCATACTAGTAATTAAAAATTGTTTGACAGGTGATGGACAAAACACTGACCCCTAGTCCATGGACTACCCTAATGGACTACCCAAATGGACTAGCCTAAAATGGACTACCCCTAAAACATACTATTTCAGATGAGTGGTATGTTAAGAAGCTGCGATTATATACTTACACTGCTAACTTAAATTTGACCAGGACATTTGAGTTGTTACAATGGGTTAACAAACTGCAAAAAAAAAACAAACAAACAAACAAAAAAAAAACACTTACATCTCTAGTGACATGACCTTGACCTTCAAAGTCATAAAGGGTGTATGACCATTCCTGTCTGTCTGATCCAACAGATTTCACTGACTGACCACATTCACTCAATGCCTAAAGGAAGAAAAAGATCATAATTTAAAACAGAAATTAAATTTAAGTGTTCAGTGCCCACGCATTCTGCAAATCATGCAACACAGGGACTTAATGCCACACACATTCTAGGGTTTAAACTCAGGCAAAATTAACTATGCCAGGGTTGACCCTAACAGCCAGCAGCCAGTAGAATTAACCAGCTACATGGGTCATATATGCCAGGTACTTTTTTGAAAAAAATGATTTTTTAATTAAGGGAAATGGGTAACTTACATGTAGTTTTTCAGTTATAGTGTACAAATTAATGGAATTAATTTTCTGATGTAAACTTAATCTGGTTGCTGATACATGATCGAAAAAAAAAAAATTTAAGCCTGTTTTAAGTGTTTTTTACAGAGAAATCACTGTGTTATTGAAATAAATTCACTTTGTATCTGGAATCCAGCCATAAGCTACAGTCACTGAACTAATTGAAATTTGTGCCCAGAATCAAGGAAATGCCATTTCCTAGGACCAAGATTTGACCCCAGACCCCCCTAGAGGGAACTTTGCCCTCAGTAGTCACTCCCTGGCTACTTTACAAATTTTCCTGGCTACTACAAATCTCACTGACAACCCTGACTGTGCTGCCATTAGTGCAAGACTAAAATGCATGCACAATTTCCCTACCATGACCAAATCAAGTTTAATGGACATTTACTCAACCAGAAACACCAGAATAGCAGTATGTTTCTTAAAACACATGTAACTGGTAATGGCTCACAGCTGAAAAAGTAGCTGCTATCTGTAGAAAATTATACTGAAAAACGTCCACCTTAACATGTGGTAAATCTCTGAATTACTGCGGAGTTGACAGGAAAAAATTTACAGGACTCCAACAATTGTTTCAAAAAAGTTGAAAGAATTCATTCAGAGCATTTGGTTACCCCTACTTTTTTATGAACTGGAAGTGGCCACCCTATCCAATAAGTGAATGGGATTAGTGTTTCGTTGAGTGCCAAAGCTATTTTAAACTGTATTTTGCTCTAAATGGATGGTACTTCTAACAGTACACATGTACCCGAGGGACGGCTTCTACCATATTTTTCTCTTGCATGAGAATCAAATATCTTAACTCTCATTATCAGTATGATAGATACTGACACCAATACATTCTATTGTCAGAATAAATGAAGAATAATTTTGTGATAAGAGTGATTCAAAAGCCTGTCTTTAGACGTACTGTAATTATACTGGTATCCCTCAATTATCAAGATCACCACCGGCAGCTTTCACCATAATTTAAGCTGGTAAATTATTTTTCTCAGACATCGCGATCTCCATTCAATCATTGATGGTAATTCTATTTGCATTGAATACACCTGCTCTGTACATTGTCACAGTGTTGAATACAATTGGTTACTATCTCCATAATTTGTATCAAACCAAAAGAAAATATATTTTACACACAACAAAGAAAACAATACCCCTAACATTGTCCGTGTATTAATGTTTCAACAGCTTTTGGCGAATAAACATCACAGATTGCATGATTCAAAATTTGGCTGAGAGGTAGTTTGGGTCTGGTCACCGACAAAACAAAACAAAAAATAAACCCCAGGTAGAACATGAACCACGCTCGGCCCATGGCCGCGCGGTTAATAATAAAACTCCTCAATATGATTTGGCAAGCACATTTATTTAGTGATCACTTCATGCTACAGAACAAGGGACTGACAAAACTTGAGAACTATGGACACATAAAAAATCATTGTGACACAGCGCACGACCACTTCGTGTAACGGAAACAAGGATTACAACTCCATTTGGACAGTTTTACTTCAGGGGCACATTAGTGGTCACTTGACATTACAGAAAAATGGATTATTTCTACTTCATAATCAACAGAATGGTTTAACAGGGTTTATCAGAAATTACCGTGACAGGCCTTGTGGTTTGTGTAGAGGCTTCAACTTGTCCTTCGCGTTCAAAGACAACCTCAAATTTCTTGCCATCTGGCTCTTCTGGTAATTCAACAACTACACAGAAGAAGTCATGTTAGAATTGATGAAGAGAACAATATTAAGTTGAGAATTGGATGAAAACAGGGTGCATGGCCAGAGATAGAGAACAACTTATATTCCCTAACCATAACATTATCCTTAAATGAGCTAATTCCACAACAATTAAAACAAATGGACAATGAGGAGCACCTTGCAATTGTCTGGTCTTGTCTATGCTTAACATAAACAAGGTGTGAGTATCACTTCTATTCAGAAGGGTCCAGACAGTTCCACACTACTAATTATAAAAATAAATCTGTAAGGAAGAAATTAAACTCCCAATTTATCATAACTCATATTCATTGTTTGTCTTGAGAATATGGAAACTGTATGAAACTTTCACTGCTAATGTTAATGCTAAGTTATGTTAAAGTTTAAAGTACACACAAAAAATAATAGGAACAGTTTCTCAGAGAAGATTTAACTCAGAATTCCTAGTTATATGTGCACCACACACTCATTTGTAGTTGATGGGATAAATGGAACAAGTGCATTAATCTCTAAATTTTTTTGATTCCCTTTAATTTCACTTTTCATGTTTGTTGTTTTTTATGATATATCATTCATCTTTGAAAAAATCCATTGTGTGCTAGCTGTTACTAAACTTCTGCCTAGCAGAATCTTCAAAGACATGAAAGGCATTTAACCAGAGGATCATGATTTATTGATTGTTGTTCATTTGTCCAGTACAGTATGTGAGGTCTTGGGTGATGGTAACACACTTAAAGAATTCCATCAGGACTAAACAGACCATCATTACTGTGCTAAAATCTCAGTGTCACTCATTATGTCACTGGGAATGATTAAAATCTCACAGTTATTAATTTGGTGACACATTGTGGACCATGGTAGCAAGCAGGCTCAAACTCATTCAGCCACTGACTGACTGTTGTTGCACTTTTCAAATATATTTTACATATACTGTGTAAACCCTGCAGTGTGACGACCACACATTACAACAACAAAAAACATGTTTTAAAACACAAAACATACCTTCAATGGGGCAATCATAGTATTTATACTTCTTACAGAATTCTTTCTCTGATCCACAAGGCCCATCTTGTAGCTTTGAGAAGAAAGACATGTGAAGGCATTAATGGTAGTCTCAACAAGCAAAATTGTTACAGCAAAAACTGACAAAGAACCAACTGCAAGACAAGTATTAGGAATCCACCAGGTTGCGCTTGAATTGTCCCAAAGTAAATAAGGTAAATCAAACATTACTATAGATAGCGTCCATCTTGCAAGAAAAAGTAACTACAAATATGAAATTACTATGTCTTTGAGAACAAACCTTAAATTTAGAGGTTTGCAACAACATACTTCTTGTCGTGATGATTTCAGGATGAAGCATGCATGGAGAGAACAAATGA